ATAGACAGCAGGTGCAGAGGGTGGAGAAGTGGTGCCGAAGAACCAGTCCAGAAAAAGCCAGGGGTGCTGGGGGCGCAGGGATGGGGATTTGAAGAATGAAGGAAACAAGGCAGAAGGTGAGAACTGAATGGTAGATAGCGTGGGGAGAGGACACTGGAAAGCGTGCTTGTAGTCACACATGAGGGGAAGCAAGGGTTTACTGGGAAGTGTTGATGGAGAAATGGAGATGCAGAGCAGCAGAGCTGAAGGAAACAGGAATGTGCTGCAGGGCATGGAGGGCTGGGAGCGGAGGCCAAGGAAGCCCAGAAATACGTTCAGCTCTGTAAAAGAAGACAGTCCCCGTTGCCCTGCGTTCAGGGCCAAGCCTAGGATAAATAGAGGGCAGGGTGGTGAGTGCCTTTAGTGTCTGCCCCGAGGGTTTGTAGCGCAGGTTTGATTTTGGGGGCCCCGGGGTTGCCCCCTGCAAGGGGCTGTGCGTATGTGTGCAAAGCCGGGGGCTCCATGCAAGAATCATTACAAGCACGGACCACCCCTGGGAGTCCTCCAGGGTAGAAGAGCAGGTGCGTTTCGTTTATTCTTATGAAGGGTTCAGGGCATAGGAACCGGGCTGCACGTCTCCTGAGCACTCCTCCAGTTCCAGACACATTTTGGTGGAGCTTCCTTCTGCTTCCTGGGGCTCAGTTGCTCGCAGGTTGTGACCTGCAGGTTGTGGTTGTAACCTGCTGCTGGCTTTCCCCACCACTCACCCCGGAGCCAGTTGTGGAAAGGTGCAGGTAGTGTGCAGAAGTTCCCTCAGCCCTTTGAGGCAATCAGCTGTTCATGCAGAGAGAGTGTGAAAGTGGGAATGCTCCGTAAGAGCCATGTGGATGATCCCGTTTCCTTTAACGTGGAAGATGGTGAGAGCAATGACTCCAAGGAAAGCCCTGCCGAGGCAGGAAAAGGGAAGGAACCCCAACCTAGCATAGCTGTTGCATTAATCCCAGGGGCCTGGTCCAGACAAGGCACCCTGCTTTCAGTTTTGAGGGTACTCAAGACCACTTGTGTTGAAGATGATGTACAGTTCATTGAATACCATGAAGATGTACAGTTCATTGAATACCATGAAGAAATACTCATGCAGAATATAAAGAAGCAAAATAAAGCTTAGACTCCTCTTATCTGTGCCCATATTGGTTCGCAGAATAGGCCAGGGGATATTCTGCCTGCCTCCAAAATTGCCTGGGGAAGTGACATATCAGTTCCTCCCTGAAGCCAAGGACAAAGGACAACCCTCTAGCCATGGATTCTATGAAATTGCCCTCTCCTGCTGTTTCAGAGGCTGTCAGTGTGCATACAGCCTCTAGTTCCCCTTCCTCAGAGATAGGAATAGGGTTGAGGCTGTTTCAATTTTGTTTCCACAGCAAAAGCAGTCCTTAACTGAAGGACTACAGAAAGATTGCAGAAGGCAACTCCAAGGCAATTATCTCTGGTGTGCTTCCAAACAAACCGAAGGCCAGAAGGCTTTGGCATAGCTCCAAGAAATGATCCTTGCTTTTGAACACTGGGGAAATGCAGCACACTAGCTGTTGAACCTTGATAACCTTCTCGCCTTTCTCCTGGTACAGCTCATCCAGTACACCGATCAGCAATACTTCTGATCCTGGAATTGTGGCTAAAAGTAATGCATTCTGCATTTGTAGAGATAGTGACTTCCAATAGGCTGTGGGAAGTCAAAGATAGGGCTTTTCCTCCAGATGTGAACAAACATGATTTCTGAAAGCCTTTGCTGAAAGAGTTTTAGTCAATGATGAGAAACTGAAAAGGTGCTGACTTTCCTAGTCTGAGAATACCAACAAGGGTTTTTGCTTTTGCTGCAAAACATTTTTAAGCGATGCCTCTGCCTGTTCCAGTTTTCACTTGGGACCAGTGACTGGAAATGCTTAAGTGATTTTGAAATAGCATGAAAAGTCACTCACAGATCGCATTGCATTCTGCAAGCATAAAGAATCTAAGTTTAGACTGTCCAAGTATATTGAACATCAGGAGATTATAAATGAAAAAATCAACATTAGAGGGGCCTGCACAAATGGGAAATGCATATGCATTGTTCGTGCTGGCACACAACTTGACATTCCGGGGCTCTTCAGACAAGCTGTTCGCAGACAACAACAGAAAAGTTGTGGGGCTTGTGGCAAATGGGAGAGAATTTGTTCTGCATTATCTTCAAAGGAGCATAATTATGCTATTGCAGGAAGACCGTTCAGAAGAAACTGATAGTCCCTGTGGCCAAGGAAGTGTTATAGAACAGGTTGGACAGAGCAAAGGTTCACGCTGTTATACTGGACTGTGTCCCTGATGTGAGCCACTCTGAGAAAATGTTGGGGGAAAGAATTGTGCAAAGGAACGCTTTGTAGGATTCAAGACAGTTCATAAATCAACCTTATGGAACTCATGCTGAAGACACAGAGGGAAATGAGCATTAACACAAGGGACTGCTGCAGTCAAGGCTGTGATGAGCCAGGCAGAGATACTTCTAGTGGCTCTGCTTGAAGCCTACAGCTGCCATTCTCACAGTCTGGTCATTTCACAGGCAGCTTCATTATCAGAGGGGTCTATTAACCTTTTTGGTATGCTACTGCTGTTCTCTGCCTCTGTATAGTGGCAGATACTAAAAGACAACATGTCCGACCTGACTGCGAAGCCACAGAGTGGCACTTGCTGGGAAAATCATTTGGAGAGTGTAAAGATTATTAATATCAAAGGAAGTTTATGAAGCTTAAATGGACGTAGCAGTGCTGCCTCAAGCAGATGCGGATCTTTTCCATGAAGCAAAGTATCTAGCAGACCAGCTGAGGGACGTCAAGTTCTTGATATCAGTCATGGTATGGAACAGAATCTCATTCCGCATGGAAGTTGCAAGTTGGGCTTTGGAGTGCCTTGCATTGATGTGGCAAATGCTTCCTCCCTCACAAAGATGTGCGCAGAGTTCATCACATTGTGCGGAGAAAGCAGTGCAGTAGAGGTGGTTGTCATAGCAAAAGAGCTCGCAGAAGCTCTCGAGGGGGGTGCTCCTTAAAGTAGCCCCCAGGTAAACGCTGCAAGGCCAGGCAATTTCAGTTGGCACACCAGACTCACACTGAAGAATGCAGTAGACTAGAAGCCCTCCTTAGGCAGGAGTTCTTCTACAGACATGTCACACTGCTGATGTCCTGCAGGTTATGTGTAGGCGGCTACATGACTAAGTGGCAGAGACGACGGCGTGTCCTTTCCCCACACGGCTGACACCTAGCCAGGGATCTAATGGGGAAGGGCAGAGCAGTTGCCTTTGGATGTGTGGAAATAGCTCCCTCGTTGCTAGCGAAACTTGCAAGGGGTGCGGCTGGGGTTGATTACGTGTGTCTTTTTCACCAGTAGGGTGAGAAGGACACCCATGTGATGGCCCCAGCCCACCTGGTCTGTATTCACAGGCGTTGCCTGCCAGTGTCACATCCCTTCAATAGCCCACCTGCATGCCCCCTTTCTTTGGTATTGCCCTTCCTTGCTGAACAAGCTTCTCACCCCTATATGCGAGCTGCCCCGAGGCTTCGGCGAATGGGGCGGCATAGAAGCTTCCTAAATAAATAAATAAATAAATAAGCAGAGGTGAGTTTCCCAGGCTTGCCCACCTAGCTATAAACGTTGTCCCAGGCACAAAGGCTGGTACTTTGTCTCCCTGCCCAGTCTGATGACACACAAACAGGGCTTAGAGAAGGATGTAAGCATCCCTTAGAGAACATTTGCCCTCCCCTAGCAACATCTGCCAGATGCTTTGAGAACTGAGCGTTTCCGTATAGCTGCTTATAACAACATGATATTGCTCATATGGTCTTTGAGTCCTTTTACTTTTCTTAATCAACACCACAATGTATGACATCTTTTACCAATGCAATGATAAAATGTGTCGTTATCTTTTCCGATTTTCCCATACTTCATTTTAAATACTTGTGCCTTCAGTTCAGGAACCTTATCTCTTGCTTAGAAGATTTTTTATCAGATCTGCAAATCCAGGGAGGGGATATCGGTGGCTATTAAGCCAGATCGCTCCAGTCTGTGTCACAGGGGATGGGCCCCAAAATACCAGGTACTGGAGCAGGAGGGGGCCTTATTTCATGCCTTCCCTGTGGGCTTCCCTGTGAAGCATCTGGTTGCTGGAAATAGACAGCTGGACTAGATTAGCCCTGGCCTGGTGCAGTAGGATTGGGTACAACTTCTGCTTATGTATTTTAAGTCTAATGATAACAGCAAGGCTGGCTTTCAGAAAATGGGCCCTAAAGATCAGTTTGCCTTCTCTTGTAGTTTTAGTGGCAAATATGTATTTGATGATGATGATGATGCATTCAGTTTCTTAAAGTGCAATGCTATGTGTGTTGAATTCGAAAAATCCTGACTGGCTGGAGCATACTGTTTGTTTGTTTGTTCATTATTTTTATGTGCCATCCCATAGCCCAAGGGTTCTCTGGACAGCTTACAAAAAACAAGAATTGAGGCCTTTTTCTGCTGAACATGCCTAGGAGTGTGCCCTTAGTCACCTTCTTTTTTAAGAAAAACACAAATAGACTTTAAAAAATGAAGAGACCCACAGGAACTTGCAACAGAATTATAATTGTTTATTCTGGGCTGTATGTTACTTATATTGCTATAGGTTCTTATTAGTGATTCAACTTATGAGCTTGAACTTGAATGTTTTAAAATGTATTTGGTTGATACATTGTAATATTATATGCTGGAAGCCACCTGTGGAGGTTTCGGCCCTAAAAGGTGGTCTACAAATATTTTAAATAAACATTATTGGTGAGGCTCTCTGGATTAAACACTTTCAGTCACCATACATTATCCAAACATGTCTAAGCATGAAACATGCAATATTATCCATGTATTATGTATCCCCTGTGTACATTAGAAATAGCAAAGCTGTGTTTCTATAATACCAGAATAGAAATGTAGCTTCAGCATGTGACTGCTCATTTTACCTCTCCAAACACACTTGCCTGCAGCTAAAAATAGGGAATGATAAGCAAGAGCGAGAAGTCCTGCTCAGCCCAGACCTCAAATAACTGGAAGGATCAGACGCAGCAATGCACTCGCTACGGTTCAGGAGCGCTGAAGCTTTGGTGTCTAACACACAGCTTGTAAGGGAGAATCTCGGCAGCCTCGCACACAACCTGTTCCCACTTCTTTTTAAGGCCAGTTACTTGCAAGAGCAGGGCGAGGTGCTCCGTGGCCTGGTGGAAAACTGGCCGCTGCCAGAACTGAACATTGGATCACTGCTGGGGAAGACGGTGGACCACCAGGAGGACTTCAGCAGCAGAGCCTGCTCTGTGTGCTTGGCCAGCTGTCTGAACGGCCTGAGAGACTACGTGCTGAATCGTGCATCTCCTTACGCAAAGAGACTCAGAATGGTGGACCTAACAGGCATAAAGGACGTTGAAGTCCAGCTCTGTCATTGCAAGAAAGCCATGGGACGGTGGGCCAGGACTGAGCTGCTTGCAAAGCTCTGCTATGATTTGCTTGTTGACATGCAAAGGCTGCCATTCAGTCCAGAAGTGTTTGAGGTATCTGTCGATGTCCGCAGTGACATCTTTGTTACGGAACGGAACTATGAGCTGGTTGTGCAGGCCTTGCTGATGCGGTGCCACTGCCCGCTCAAGATCCGCTGTGCAGCCTTCCGAGTGGACAACTTGCCCCTGAGGAAGCTCTTCTACATCATAAAGCTGACAGAGCCCTCATCACTCTGCAAGCTTGAAATGGTCCACAATGTTCGTTTGGAAATGGAGCATTTGCAAGTGCTGTTGAATAATGTTCAGTTTCCTCAGCTGAGATCACTCACAGTCCCGGCTAGAACATTTGATGTGAGAAGGTTCACAGCAGAGGATGAAGCCACTCTGATGAAGGTTGGAGAGAAGCTGAGCCAGATGACACAGCTGATTGAGCTGAACCTGGCATTTTCCACACTCACAGGAAAGATTCGGAAACTGCTCAGGTAATGCAATCCAGGACACTATTACTGGGGAAACAAATTGCCATGCAGCAAAACAAGGATGCTAGGAAAATATGACGGTGTAGACACTGAATCTTGGGGAAAACCATGGGGATATAGCAGTGCAAAATTTACAAGCACTTCTATTGAAGATCAGAAAAGGAAGGCATTTGACATACATCTTATCCAGGAGGTACCCATGCCCATTTCCATGACTCTTGTATCTGCAATTTTCCCATGCTGTAAAATAGTAGAAGCTACTGCACCCTGTGAGGTAGAAATTATAATATTTCATATTGTCTGCTTTTTTTTAGGACATTACTAGCAGTTAAGGCTTAGAATGATTAACTGAGTCTCTTCTTTTCTGATTTGTGCATTTACGTAAACCCACTCGTCCTGACGATTCCTTATTACTTCCGTGTTGCTGAAGAACTGAACCAAATCAAAAAATGACTGGCCCAAGAGCATCTCGTAGCGTCTCTGGCTGAGCGGGTGTTTGAACCCAGATGTTCTGCAGCCCAGGCCAATGTTTTGGGCTGTGATGTTTCTCTGTGGGAAAACTGTCTACACACTGCTCTTCTGGGGCAGTAGGGCTGGATTTTTACTAAATTGGTTGAAGCTGCAGCATATAGAATTGCCAGTTTATATGTTTGAGCCATTTTAGGGTTTCAGGCTCCATAACATTTTCTGGAGACCTACTGCTCTAAGCAGAGACACGGCCTGGTTACATGCTATACTGCCACATGGAAAAACATGCATAAGGCTGTGCCACTGATGTACCCTTTCTGTTAAGTGTCTTTGTCATCCTTCAAAGCTTTACCATTTTCTTCAGCTTGCTGTGCAATCCTATACATACCTACTCAGAAGTAAGGCTCAGTTTGACTTAACTCCTAGGTAAAATTAATTAGTATTGTAGGTTTTTATTTCATTTTTGCTCTGGTACAACCAACAAATGAGGGATAAGCCAGTTGAAAAATTACATCAGGAAGAAACTCTATTCTTTTAGGGAAAAAACAGTATCTCGATCTTAACTTGTTTGTTCTTGAAATTTCATTGCCACTAAAATCTACAAACATTTACAAACTGGTCAAAGGCATAAGGTCTTTATTCTTTCTCAATATGTATAATGCTATCATTATTCTTGCCATGTCTGAGAAGGAAAGAAAACCATCTGTCTAGCTAGCAAATGAATCCATGCCAGATCCTCAGTACAGGGGACCAACATTCTGCCAACCTTCCTGGCTTAGAAGAGGTTTCTTCAAATGTGGTCCCAAAGTGATGGAGGATCAAGCAATTCTGAAACTCTTTAGCAAGAGTTAAGAAGGCATTTTTCCTCTGAGCAGGACTGGGACTTCTGTTGGTGTTGCTTTCCTGAATCCCAGAAGATAGTCTTGCTTTTGGAAGTAGGGTAGAGGTCTAACCTTGGTGGCTTACCAGTTGAAGCATTCCATAATATTTGAAAAGAAGAAGGAAATCTCTCCCAAACCTCCACCATCATGGCTGTGGAGACTCAATTTTATTGCCTTCTTTACATTTGCTTTTGTTCTTTACAAGTGACATAATATAACATTTTTACCATATTGTTCTAATTCCTTGATCAGCAATTACGGGCAGTTAATATTGGACAGACCCTAGCTCAGGCCTAAACATGTTGCAGCATCTTTTAGCCCAGCAAGTCTGTGATTTTGTGCCTGTGTACACCATGGCTATAATTCTTCCCCTGGTTGTTTCGTGCAAAAATGCCATTGAAGTCAATGAGACTTCACCTACCCACTCATGATAATACACTTGCATCCATTGTTCATAAAAAGTATTTGACAAGTGCTCAATGGAGATTCAATTGTGTAATTACTTATCTTTCTTTTATATCTAACTCTCCAGCCCATTGAAATACCCACTGAAAGTTCTGGATGTTTCCAATTGCTCCTTAAACCATGTTGATATGGCTTATTTAGCCAATAGCCTCCATTCTAACCATCTGGAAGCCCTTGATATCAGTGGACATGATGTGGCTGATCTCTACCCATCCACCTTCTTCAAACTTCTGAATCATTCATCTTACACGCTGAAGAGTCTCACCCTTGAGGAATGCAACATCCAGGACATTCACATAAACATGTTGATTTTGGGATTGGTCCCCTGCCGGAAACTAGAGGAGTTCAAGTTCCTTGGAAATCCTCTGTCTTCTCGAGCATTGAAATGCCTTTTTAACATTTTCATTGACTTTCCAAGGCTAAAATACATTGAATTCCCAGTTCCAAGAGACTGTTATGCAAGTGACATCACTTACCCAATTAATGAAGCTGATCTCTCAAAATTTGATCATCAGAAATATGAGAGGACAGCAGAGGAACTTAACATGATTCTGCTGCATGCAAAACGGGAGGACATAAAGGCCTCCACACCCCTCTTTGGAAGCTATGATGCAGCAATTCAAGAAACAGGCAATGAACTCGGATTCTCTTTGCTGAAGTCGTTCCAAGATGCCCTACAGAGTTTCAGCTTGGCTCTTCAGGAAATCAGCTGAAGTCTGAGCCAAAGAGCACTTCTCAGGTTCATTGACAAAATTCAGGCATTCATTTATTGGAATTATTGAGATCATACATTTAGGGCTAACTCTATACTACTGGGCATTCTCCTAGCAAGGTCACCTTAGGGAAGGCAGAGCTGCAGCCCACCCCCTATGAGGAAGGCATGCAGCATGCTAAGCAAAACAACCAGTTGCAGCGTTCCCTGTTCACAGTGGACCTTTGGGAAGAGTTCGGGGGTCTCCTGTTCATGAAAATCTGCAACCTGTTATATGAAGCAGCACACTGAAGCCCTTTGTTTTCAGGCAAAAGACCAGCATCGATCCTGAAAAGCAAGGCAGATGACTAGTGGCCCTCCAGATGCTCTGCCTTGCAACCCCACCATCCCTCACCACTGGCTGTGATGGCAAGGGCTGATGGGAGTTGTAGGCCAAGTATCCAGAGGGCTGCAGGTTGCCCAGTCCTGCTGTTGAATCAGGAGTCTAATCTGGAGGTCATTAGGTTGAGGAATGCTGCTTTAGCAGAAGGAATTCCAAAATTTTTGTTTGAAGTTAATACATCTCCTGACTCCACAGACTTCTACAGGTTCAAAGTGAAGGTGAGGTTTTTCTAGCAGCCTCTTTCCATTTTATTAATAGACCTTACATTTCACCATATAGATAGGTCTAGACAGGTTTTTTTTCCTACTTGTCTGAGGGAGGGTAGTGTCCATGCACAGATATGGTTGTATTCCTTTAGTATGGTGCGTGTGTACCAAAACAGGCATTCACTTAAATCTGTGCCTATTCTAGAGTAAAACTAAAAAGGAAAAGAAAAAAAGACATCAGTGATCCTGGGCCTGAGTATGTGTGATACATTTACATGAGACAGTTTAGATCACTCCCAGTCAGGATTTTCCCTTGATTTTCTGTTTGGTGATACCGTGGATAATGAAAAAAAGTTAACAATTAAAATTGAACGTACCGTCTCATAGCATTGCTTTCTGCCTGTTTTCTGATTAGCTGGATGTCTCAGTAGGAAAGATGTTTAATTACCTGCATGCTAAGATTCACATTCAGAACCAACTGGAAGGAGGCACTCCTTGACTTTCCCTTTCTCTGAGGAAAGTGCCAGTGACCAGCACTGGTGGGAGCAGCGCATGAGAAAGAGAGACACTCCCATCCTGGCTCCCACTGGGGAAGGAGAGCATAGCATGGATAAGCACAGTTGCTCCCACTCTTCACCAGTGCGGCTGGCTTGATGGCCTGCCTCTTGCTTTCTCCAAACACTGGTAGCAAAGCGGCGGTAGAGTCCACATCCTCCTTGCTCCCTGGCTGTCAAGCAAGAGAGTGGGAGCGGTGAGGAGAAAGAAGGTGAGGATCCATGGCATGGTAACCATGGTGTGGATTCCTAAGGGAAGGGCTCCACTGGAGGTGTCTTGCCCAAGGATCCTCCAAAGCCTGGAGCCAGTACTGGGAGATGGACCCACTCATCTCACATACACCCCACCTCTGCTCAGGCCTTGCTTGCTGCCCCTTTCCCTTCTCTCTGCCTCCACTCTAATTATCAGCATCAGGAAAATAGGACTGGCCAAGTGGGAGGCATAGGGCACGGTCCCTGATCTGGTGTTGGCTGCTGCAGGCTCCCTCTCTCTCTTCTGCTGGGCAAGTGAAGGCCACAAAGCTTCTTGAGTGACTCAGGGCTCCAGCCCCCTGCAGATGATGCTCCATCCGGGCTCCGGTACCCCACTGGCCTCTGAACAGAAGTGGCTCCCCTGTGCTGGAGAGGGTGTCCCTGAGAGAACAGCTAACAGGTGACTAGTCCCGGATGTTGGCCTAAAAGACTGCTTGAATGTTCTTACATCCAGGAGAAGAAACTCAGTAAAGAAAATGAGGATGCAGAAGATGCGGAGGAAAGATAGGAGATGAACTGATAGCTACCCAGATAATGCTTATGTGGTACAAAAACAAAATGTTCTTCCCACGCAGCAGCACAGAATCTTGCTAATATCTTAGTAAATGCGTGTTTGAATCAATTACTGGTGAACAAAGGGATCATTATTCTTAATTATGCCTCCAGTCACTCTCTGAACAAAAAGGAGATAGCATTGCATATAAAGTAGGAAGGCATGCCTTGGGAATCTGGCTTTAAATGGCATTGTTCCCGGAGTCAGCGCCGAAACCTAAACAAAGTGGATGCAAAATGGATAGGAATTTTGGATGGTTCATTAGAGAGGGGGCCCAGCTCTCGCATGCTGCAGTCTGCTCAGACAGATTCCTCTAATCCTGAGGAGGCAGATGGCTTGGCAGTTTCAAGGTTACCTGGTGGCTGTTCTTAGGCAGAGTGTGAAAACCAGCCCAATTTGGAAAAGGAGTGAGACATTTTAGAGTTGCAGGGGAGATGATGGAACTCCTTGACCTGGTCAGGGGGCAGCAGGAGAAGCCAGTGGATTAATTAAGAAACATCTGACCTTCCCACCATCTAGCCCACAAGCACCAAGAGCCACTCTGCAGGTGGAGTCAGAAGTGTTTCTGAAGGAGATGATTCAGTTTAGATTCAGCTTTTCCGCATAGGCAGTTACTTCTGCCGATGCTCTAGTGGAAGGGTACTTTGGTTATTACTCTTCTGTTAAGTTTTAATAAAAGAACTGTGCTTCTGCAGCTTCATTAGTGTCTTCTGGAGAGGAAAAGAGGGAGGGAGAAACTTACTCCCAATATTTCACAGGACACAAATGTGCCTGCACACACATCCATACAAAACAGGATTAAATAGGGCATTTGAGCTGATGCTAATATGTAGAGTAGGGGTGTAGAACCTCTGGCTGAATCTGACCTTCAGGAGCTCCAGATCTGGCCCATGGAGGCTTGTACCACCCCCTCAAAGTCCACCCCTTGGAAAGACAGACAAGAGAATTTGCTATGGGGGAAAGAGCTGGAGAATCGGGGGGGGGGGGTGAGTGTGGAATGGAGGGAGAAGAACACTGGAACTGTGCTTATTTTGGTCTTTTCAGGACCAAGCCACACGCTGTGCCTGAGTTGCCCATGCAAGTCCGACAACCTCTCCTCCATCTCAACAGCACCGTTAGGAGGAAGGCTGCATCAGATGGATGGGATCAGTGTACTGATTTTATTTATTAAAAGCATGTCTCCCCCATCCTTTACCAAGGCCTCCATTGCTCGTGCCAGCCCCGCTCTCTCGGACATGTCCTCACCCTCTCACTGGCTGCCAGGTCTGTACAGGCCCAGAACAATGGCAAGGGAGTGGGAATGGGTGGGTGGCAACACCTCGGGGGGATTCAGAATGAGGTCTTACTTGTCTCAGGATAATCAGATGCAAAGAAGCTGAAAGAGCTCCCTGAACACTTGTGTGGATGACAGCATTTTGACAGCTTGTCATGCAGGGGTAAGAAAAGTGGCATTTACTCATCTTCCCTCGCCTGTGCTACCGAAGCATGGTGTGGAACTTTTTTGGTGGGGGAACATATCATCCAGCACCCAGCACTCCCTGGGCCAGATGCACTATAGCCCAGCCATCCCCGCGACTTCATTTATGGACATTTAACCCCGCGCTGAGTGAAACGAGGGGTCTGTGCCTTTCCCAGCATCAAGGAAAAGACTCTGCAGGCACAGGGAAGAGCAAGTGATGTTTCTGGGCAGTTAGCTTCAATGGCAGGCATAGTTGGACCCTTTCCAAGGTCCACAACCCAGCAGCGACTTGCTGACAAGAGACTTCTGGGACTACTGCTCCTCAGCACCACTGTGGCTTGCTTGCTCAGCTGCCTCTTGCTCTGGTCCAGACAACAGTGGCAGAAAAAGGGGGCCTTAGCCCCAAGGCCCGTTGGGCAAGTAGAAGCAATGATGAGGAAGGTGCCAGAGAAATGAGATGGACTCACTGAGGGAAGGGGAGCCATTGTGAGTGTCATGCCCAAGAGCCCTCAGAAACCTGAAGCTGGCGCTGGTCCTGAGCATTGCTTGGTACCCAGCATGCCATGGGGTGTCCCATCTGGCCCAAAGAAAAGTAGGCACAGAGGAAAGCAGAGCCACCTGTCACCTGCACCTCGCTGCTGTTTCCAGGCTCTGACCCAGGATCCTTGGGGGACCCAGAGTCTCAATGTCCAAGCAGAGGAACTCAACAGGTTGGGTTAGGCTCCCTCCACACCCCTGCCTTAAAGTGATCAGTGATAAGCAAGAACTGGGCCTTTTCTCTACATTCTAAGTCAACCTTCTCCAATCCGGTGCCCCAAGAAACCAGCCAGTACCACCAATGGTCAAGAACTCTGGCAGATGTAGTTCAAAGCATCTCAAGAGCATGTTGGAGAAAGTTGTGCTGAGGTGACCGTTGCTTTATGTCCGCAGAAGTCATGGCCTCTAAGTCATGGCTCACCCAATCCATTCCCACAATGATGATACTCTGTTTCTTGGTTATGACACTCTGATTAAGCGGCTCAGACACCAGTTTCCCTGGGGACAGGGAAGGACCACTCAGCTGCCTTACACTTCAAGTGCAGATAAGCTTGATTGTTTCAGAAGAAGTGTGGTCATTCCTCAGAAACTTCTGCTTGTCTGCAGTTTCTTTCTTGTGAAAACAATCTTAATGCAATTGTAAATATATTCAAGATAGGCCTCTGCACGTTTCTGTGAAGCTTCTTCTTCCCTCCAATGTTCCAAATGCCCTGTTCTGAATATGCTTAGCTATATATTTCAATAATTCTGTATTCCATAATGTTTAGGAATGGACACTTTCAATTTCGGGGTAGCAGAGGGGGGTGGAATGTAGTGCCACCTTGCCAGGCTCAGTCATGAGGTTTTGACTGTTGCCGTAAGATGAGATAGTCTACCAGTGATGTGCCTCAAAGGGCAGAGCAAGCACATGCTGCAAGGGTAGGACAACACAACACACCACCCATGGCCCCCAGGGGTTATATAGTGCGAACCGGCTCACAGGGATGAAAAAGGTGATCAGCCAAGGAGAACAGCAAAGCCTTGGGTTCTCGGACTGTCATGACATTCACACTGCCAGATTGTGGTTTACTCCTGAGAAAGAGGAGCAGGTGGCTTTGCTGGCTGCTTTCACTTATGGGGCCCAGAGACTGTGACACAGATCAGCCCCAAGGTATTTGCCTCCCTGTCTCATGCTGAGGGATTCACACAGCAGGAAAGGCCCCGTTGCTTCCCTTCTGGTCTGTGACCTGCTGCAAAACAAGACAGGCAGGAGTGCATTTAAGATCCTGCACAAGAAATACAAGCCAATGGGAAATGAATCCATCAGGATTGCTCTTTTGTTAAGAAGACAGCAAAAAAGGCAGCAGGTGGGTTAGAGCACCAGACAGGGCAGCCTGGGCCACAAGCCCCTGGGCGATGTTGGGGCCACGTGTTATAAGGAGATAACTGGAGAGGTGGAACCCCTGAGCTCTTGGAGAATGGTGGGATGAAAGCTTAAGTGAAAAATAAAATGCTGTTGTATGCCAAAGGCATCCTTTGCTTTAGGAACTTGGCTAGGTGTATGCATGCCATATGTAGTCCCTGATCCAGCCACTGACAGTTCCACTTCCCATACTTTCCTGGTGGGTTTTGAAGACCTTCTGCCCCAAAGTGGCCAGGAAGCCCTTTTGTGACATCAAGGAAATGCAGGGCAAGCAATAGCCCCCAGAAACCCATGGGAAGGACTGAGAGGTAGAGGGCATGGGATTTCCACTAAGGGACAGCTAAAGGGCCCCTAGGCCCAGTGCTCTTCAACAACTTTATTAATGATTTAGATAAGGAGGTACAAGGAACAATAATCCAATTTGCAGATGACACAAAACTGGGTGGAATAGCAAACACCCTGGAAGACAGAATGAAGATCCAAGGAGATCTTGATAAGCCTGAATGCTGGGCTGAAAGCAAAAGAATGAGATTCAGTAGGGACAAATGCCAAGTCCTCCATCTAGGGAAAAAAACAAATGCATCAATATAAGATGGGGAATACGTGGCTCAACAGAACTGAAAA